GTGTAAAAAGAAAATTACTTAAGTTGTCTAACTTTGAGGTTTTGTTTTTTTACTAGTACAAATGACAGATTTAGTTTTTAAGCTTCTTCGGAAAGTTCATTTCTGGCATATATCCTAAGACATGTTCGTGGGATCATACTTCTTCTCGTCAAGATTTTCAGGGATGTTTAGCTTCCATACCTTTGTTTTCTTTAATGCATATGTGTATGTGTTTAATGTTATGAATTCTTTGGAGATATTAACTGAAGACGGCTTGCTCTGAGCAGTTATGAATGTCTTTTCCAACAAGAAAACATGCACTAAAAAGTTATCCGTTAATATTCTGTAGATTAGTGGTGCATATAATATGATCTAAACAAGCACTAAAAACTAACTCAATAAAGCATGTACGCAGGGTCTGTTGACTTTCAAGTGTGTCCAATGTTTTATGCATGTCCACTAATTCAACTTATTCATGTGGCAGCAGCTGACCTTACCTCCCATTGGATCCAGATTAATGGAGACCTCTGACTCATGATTACTAATTCAGTGTAAAAGTTCAAATCATTATTATGGATAAACTAGAAACTGACCAGCTCTAGTTCAAATTTCTAACTTGCATGCACTGAATATACAAGAATAAGTAAGTTCTTGTACAAAATGTTGACAGAATAAAGTTTTCTCTTAGACAAATCCTGTATGGACTTTCTGGCTACAAATTAGGTAGATGGAACATTAAATATTCTATTTATTTTAGTGTGTCAAGACAGAATCAAACTGTTTTTTAAAAAAGAAGGCACATAAATTGTCAAAGAGAACAAAGATAAATAAAACACTGAACTGCACTTAACAGGAGGTAGATAATCGACCCTTACATCTTTGAAGTCTGTGCCTATAAGCGGAATAAATAACTACAGCCCAAAGACATTATTGCAGCACTATACCATGTTTATGCTCTACTCAGTTACATTTGCACACTAGGTATTTAGTGCATAATCACTCAAGTTTAAAAAAACTTGTAGGTTTTTCACTGTGCTATAAAATAGGACTATCTAATACATCATAATGCCTCTTTAAAGCCAACATTTTGTCCAGTTTTAATTTTTTTTTAAATTTCAGAATATATCACAACATCCAAAATTGTGACTATAGAGCTTTTATTTGAAGTTATTTAAAAATAAGCAGTTCCTCATATATTAACTTGCCCATTCCTAGAAATAAACAGTTTCAGCTTGAGTGGAACTGATCATGAGTTATCTACCACAGCAGTGTCATAATGTTCATTTTACCCTTCATCTTCTCTCGGTAAAGCTGGAGATAATTACAAAATATTTAAGTGAAATACAATATAAAGAGTGTATGTAAGTTCAGAGGAATAACAGTTGCTAGAGTAAAATCAAGATCAAGTCTTGTCATTTTGTCACTTATTTCTTGTTTTTTAAACATGTTACATTATCATTAGACACACTTCAGAAATTCCACATCTGTTACCAAAACTGCCATGATTCCTTTGTCTTGTACCTCAGTGCTCTTTGTGTTTAAGGTTTATTATCACTTTGAGTCCCGTAACAGATGAGCTACAAAGCTCTGACTACAAATCACAGGTGGTGGGAATTTCCAGAGCACTTATTTTATTGGTTCTTCAGCTCAAAGAGATGATTACAGAGTGCTTCTCAGAAGAATGCTTGTCAGATTGATCTGCACAATGTTAGCACAGACTTCTTTTAAGTGTTGTGTAGCGCCACAAATTTGTACCACAGTTCATAAATACAAAGTTGAAAACAGAGCAAAATCATAGTGCAATGTATACATTTTCCCTCCTCTCAAACTCCTACACATTCAACCCTTTTCTGAGTCAATTAGCATGACTCCAAACAAAATGGCCTTACCACTTCCAGATGGAGCTTCCAACACTCCTACTCATGAGAGAACACTCTTGTACATGTCTTGTTAAACGAGTTAAATATCACTAATTGAATGAGATAAGGATTTGCTCCATGTACAATCAGTTGCTTGTCAATGTGTCGATAATGAAGAAAAACAACAGTGATGGTCATAAAGTGGCCGTGACACTAAATTAGAGCCAAGGAACATTTCATGACACCAAGTTTGACATCTTACATTGTAGCAGTGCATATTATACAATTACTTTCTCTGAGTGAGTGCAACTTGCACTAAATGTGTTCAGTTTATTTTAATTTAAAATTTAAATGAACAGCAAACAGATAGAGAAACTTTTCTTCACTCACAGAGTCACTTTTTTTTCTTCTTCTGTGCCCCTTTCTTGTGGGAAATGTTTCTGGCAAAAATGTACTTCTCTTCTCTTGCAGCTGTCAGATCATAACAAATAATCTTTAATTGTTCTGTTTACAAGTGTTCCTCAAACAAACCAGACATTACAGGAAGCTGCTACTTATCCACTTACCGGCACTCACATATGCACTAACATCTAAAATTTAAAATGGTTCAGTTGACAAAATGGCACTGTGACAGATCACATCATCAATGAACATACTTCTTATTTTGAAATCACAATTGAATTCTTGTTAATGTTTCTGCATGCCTTTACATATACTTTTGTGAATCGTTTGTTGCTGCCATGAATTTAAAACTGACTTTTAAAACAGTGCAGGATTTTGTTTTTTGAGTTATCTGTAGTTTATTTGTCTTTTTTGTTTTGTCTTTTTCTGTTGCAAGGTGAGTTTTAAAAAATCATGACCTGTTTTTCTGTGTGCAACTTGCAAAACAACTTTTTTTTTTTCTTTCCCTAAAAAGTCTTCTTCAAACCTTATGGACATTCAGAGAAAAAAAGCAATTAAATGTATGAGCAGATTAGTGAGTGACTGGAGATCATCCTGTCTACATCTTTGGGCTTCCAACAAGCAGCACACAACTCTGTGTGGGGAAGTCTTTGAGATAGCACAGAGCACAGAAGTATGTTGTAGTCATCAAAAATGTCTAGTTGGTGAATCAGGAGCATATTCTCTTTTTGGAAAATGTTGTTGACACATCGTAAACTAGAGTCATAAGCTAAATAACAGGGAAGATAGCAGTACAGCATTTTTTTCCCCATGTCCCATTAGGAATTTTAGGCATACCATGTGGAGAAACTGGTTGCCAACATGTGCCACGGCAAATTTGTTGTACGAAAAGGATATTTCCAGTCGGTATCTTAAATGCTTAATTGACTTTAATAACATTGATCTGGCTTCTATATGCAGTTACTCAGTGTGGTGCTCACCATTGCTCATGCAAGACTCACTTGGTCACCTTCTCAGCACAGTCAGCGCACCCTAAGCAAATGCAGCAGGCCCAGACGTGTTTACCAGTGAAATCATGCAGGTTTCCGGGACGGGTCGCGCACAGGACAGTGGAGTAGACTAAATTAGTTCTGCCTGTCAATCCAACCAGATTAATTTCCATTATCAGATCCTGCATGGCGTACTACAGCTCTCCATTTTTTGAACTCACTTCAGGTAGTAAAAGCTGTGCCAAGCCGTATCCTGCGTGCAAGTGATTTGATAGCAGACTGCATTTGTTGATTGGCTTGTGATTTACATCACTGCAAATTCTAAACTACATTTCAACCACCTAAGTAGACAGGCCGACATGCTGTCTGCTATTAGGCTGCTGCTCATGGGAACGAGTGTAATTATAAGTTTAATCTTAAGGAGCACAAGGATCATAGGCGTCAACTGTTAGAACAGAATGACGATGATTACTAAGGTGATTTTAGCTCTAAACACCTGGATATTAAATACAGGTTGGTAGACATAAATGTGTCCTCAGAATTCACCATTTACCACAATTTTATTTGGATACAGTAGATTTTTCCTGGTATATCGATGGCCATGCTCTGTCTCTTAGCTCCGCCCACTTTGGTGGAATTTTTCTAAATTTGTTAAGGGATGGGTCTTCTTTAGCATCTTACCCTGCCCTGACACATGGACTACATGAAAGTAGGAAACATTAGAAGCCACACCCATGCTTCATAGATGTGAAAGGACTTGCAGACTGGAGCAGTTGCACATCTAATACAAGAGAGAGGGAGAGAATTTCAATTAACCTGAGTACAACCATAACATCAGCCACTTGCCGCTGGGCAGGACCAGATGCTCTGTCCTTCATGCTTGTTTTCCAGCTCCTTCTTCAAGCATGCCAGTGGATGCTCACAGACTTGTCCAATTTTTGAAATGAAAATCTTGCACTCCTGATTCTGTGCTATGTACTTTGCGTTGTTGCTATTCAATTAAAATGGCCATACCATTTTAATGGCAAATACATTCAACTTGGAATATTTTTTTTCTTTCCTTTCTTTTGTTCTACCTTTCTTGCTTTCTTTGCCTTCCACATTGACCTAATTTTCATTTAATCCATGCAAAAAAGGAAGTAAATTTAATCTAAGTCTTATTATTACTATCTGAATTAATTGAACACATTTCAGATTGGTTTGTCTAATTACTGTGTTGTCAGTCCTTGTATCAATTTTCCACCCAAATAGTCCAGTAACAATATTGCAAATATCACACAAACATTTGCTCCATTTCAATACACAAATCCTGAACTTTATTCAGTTTTACATCCATCTCAAAATTTGTGTTGGGATTGTATATATTTTACACGTGGATTTACCTCAATCCACGTGTAAAATATATGCATTTTATATATATATATATATATATATATATATATATATATATATATATATATATATATATATATATATATATATAGAGATGACTCAAATTATCTAATCATGATACACACCAGAAATATTTGCCTCAAGATAATTTAAAGCTTAGTAAATCATAAAGTCACTATTCAAAAACAGCTTCCTCCAGTGAAAGTCTAAATAGCTTGCAATATAGTTTCATTTTCTGAAGAGACAATTTTATTTTTTATATTGAAATCAGACTGCTTTCCCTTTCATAATTGTTTTCATGTTTATTTTTCTTTGTTTTCCATTAGCAAATTTCTTTCTCACTATGAATTATCATCTGGCTCTGCTGTGCTTCTTTTAGGTGACCGAAACAAGGACGGGCCCACTTGGATGCAGTAACTATGACAACCTCGACTCTGTCAGCTCTGTTTTGGTTCAGAGCCCTGAAAACAAGATTCATTTGCAAGGTTGGCTATCCATAATTGAACTCCCCCCAATTTCTGAAGGAATTGTCACAGTGTCTGTTCCCTGGCAAGTTTATAACTACAGCGTGAGAGTGTCAGAACAAATTTAGCTTCAATCACTCTTTCTTTTTTCTCCCAGTGCATGCTTGCAAAGTTTTGAGGTAAATCCCAACCAGCAGAAATCTGGAACCGAAGTAGAATAACTGCGGAGTAAAAATAAAATTGAGTGAATCTTTGCATAAATGTTTTTGTTGCCAAGCATGTGCATTGTAAATAAGAAAGTCACTATCAGTCTTAAACCAATTATTCTACAGATGTTGCATACAGAAGTAATCTATACTTATACTGCAATGCTTAAAGGACATTTGTGTCGTTCTCGTTTTATTCATCTATGTGTTCGTCCTGTTTCTTTTATTTCCTCAGGCCTCCAGGCCATACTGCCAGAATATCTGAGAGCCAGGTTTGTGCAGGCTGCTCTAAGTTATATTGGCTGTAATGAAGAGGGCCAGTTTGTGTGCCGGGACAACGACTGCTGGTGCCAGTGTGCTGTCGACTATCCGCAATGTAATTGCCCTGAGGTTGATCTGAGGGCTATGGAAGGCAGTTTACTGCAAATCAGAGATTCATGGAACATGGCCAACCAAGACTTTGAGGCTTCAGGTCAGTGTTACTCTCCTGTCTCTCCCTGATTGATGGTGGTACTTTCTCTGGGGAAAAGAATGCGCTCGATTGTCAAAAGAGGTGAAAATATTAGAAATGATTCGTTGATAGGAGAAATTTGTAGCGATGTATTTACTTTGGCTCTTCTCTTGATAAAAATATGATCAGAGACATATCTGGTATTGTGTAGCAACATATTGGTTTGTCTACAAATTATTATTGATGAGGACCTAAGACAATTATTAAAATTTGTCATTTTTATCAAAATTATTAAATTAAGTCACTGCCTAATTATATAGAAGTAATAGTGAAGCAGCTCTGTTGCTGTCAGTTACTGTTTAAGGTTATCTGCCTTGTGAGATACAGAATAACACAATTTCTCCAAAATAAAATATTTTAATAACAAAATACTTCAAGTTTCAGTTAAAATTATTTTGCCAAGAAACTCTAACTCTGCTAGTAAGATTCAGTTTAGCTACAAAATAAAAAATGAAAGAAAAGAAAAAAAACTATTAAACTACTATAGAGGAAAATCGAGGCTGCTTCCAGCTCATCTCATTCCCATTAGTACCACTAATATATATATTAATGTGTGTGAGTATAGGTGATGTGCTCTGACCGACTGCGGCACGAACACAGTGAACTGTGTTTTAACCACAGCAGCACTGTGGATAACTTCTTAGGCAAGAGAAGTTTATCTGTATAGCAAATTTCAGAAACAAGGTGATTTAAATGACGAAAACATCAAACAACAAGCAAGGAACACAGATTTAATTTTCTCAAATGACTTCATCAAAACCATCACCATAAAATATCCCCATAAAAACTAAATCAGTTGATATTCTAGTGATTAGTAATCAACTCTTAGCAAATTATTTTAGCTTTGATTTAAAATGAACTAATTGTTTTTGCATTTTTCTGGAAGTTTATTTCAGATTAGAGGAACATAACATTGAATGCTGATTTTCCCTGTTTGGTTCTGATTCTGGGGATGCAGAGCAGACTAGAACCAGAAGAATAGAGTGGTCTGGAAGGTTGTCATAACACCAGGTCTATAATATATTTTGGTGCTAAGCTTTTTAGTGAATTCTAAATCAACTAAAGTATTTTAAAATATATTCTTTGAGCTATAGGGGACCAGTCTAAGCACTTTAGAATGGAGATGATATGCTCTATTTTCCCAGTTTAAGTAAGGATGTGAGCAGCTGGGATAACGGAGACAGAATTGCCTGCATCTATGATCAGATTCTTTCTGCATGAGCTGAGACAGCCAGTTTCAGAGTCCTAGTCTTATTTTCGGTGGGGTTACAGTCATTGATTATAGAGACAGCAGGCCATATTTTACTTTGGATCTAAGGATTTTATTTTATTTTTTAAAGATATCGTCTTGTTCTCAGCCAGCAATATCAAGACTTTCACATGCCTGTTCTCTATGACATAGTCTGTGGAGAGCTTCAGGCAAAGACTTATAACACTGTTCTGCTCATGCTGTTATACCTCTATGACATCACAGAGATTACAGCTGTGGGGAACTCCTCCTTCCAGCAAGATGTCATAAAAACTGGTTACTACTATGCTTGCTCGAAGTCAGAGTTTTTACCAGTCTTTTAGTTCATGTTTCCATGTGGCTTGTGTGTATCTCAAACTGGTTTTAAAGTCAGCCTTACTTCCCTTGCAAATCTTTCATTTCCCCATCGCTTCATTAGGTGTTGTTAAATCATAGCTCTTGTGCAGAACAATAACCTTAGATGTGAAACAACACCAACATTGACTTTCAGACATTTATGCTAACTGCTAGAATAATGAATGAAATAAATGTATTTATTTAAAAATTGGGCAGAAAACTACTGTCGCTGCAACACTATCCAAAACATAAGGCCGTCATCTTTCTACTTCCCAGTTGGGATGGCAATCTTAAGTGTGTCTTTTTCATTCAAATCTAACGGCCTTCATTACAGCCTAATACTACAATTTTAGTTTCATCAGGCCACAACACATAACTTCAAAAGTTTAGGTTTGCAATCCCAGAGTGCAAACTATAATTACTGTTTTATGTAGCTTTTTTACTTATAGCTTCTTTCTCACTAGTTTCCCTGTGGATAATGACTTTCTTAAACTGGGTTCAGCCATCCTCATGATAACTTTTGCTGCTGTTAATTTGCACATTTCACACCAATATACATTTTATCTCTGAGGCACACAGCCTCTCTGCTTATAATGGTATGATGGCTGGACATGTGTTTATTTTTTATATGAACCAGGAATGTGGTAGCTTCAGACATCTGAGGCTTCCACCTCATACCTAGTAAGCTATTACATATTTACCTATATGGTAAATATGATACATTTTCTAAATAATGTAAATCAAGTTTTAGCACAATTTTTAATGGTGAATTAAATGTTAAATGATTAGAAGATAATACTACAATGTATATTAATGATACATATGTAAAGGCTGAAAAACAATTATCCAACATTCTTATGATAATTCAGAACTAAAGATAGGTTAGGTTAGATTCCACACACATTACAGGTGTGGAATCCTAACTTGCAGGATGCAGGGTCGAAGGTGCTCTAAACATTTTGTATTTATTGGGAAAATGTTTTTAGTTAAAGACTTGAAACCTGATCCTGAATTGAGATAAATGACCTGACTTGAAATTTGATGGACTTGCCCCTTAAAGACTTGAAACTCTGAAAAAAGATGATTTGTCAATATCTCTCTTGTCGATAGATAGGTCAGTTTTAATTAAAAAAAAGAAAAGTTCTGTAATTATTCTCTGTGTATGTCATAGGAATTTCTCCTCATTAGTTTGTACTTAAGCAAAGTGATGATGAAATAATAATAAAAAACTGACAGTGGCTTGAAGCAGTGCTGTGCAAGACTTCTATGTGACCTAACAGAATCTGAGACATCCAAGGGTAAGCTGACTGTCTAAGCATCATTGACCGTTCAAAGGACATCAACCTAATTCTTGACATTTATGCATGTGTCTGACGGTGGCAGTTTAGCCTCTGTGTTTGTATTTAGATTGATTGGTCCAGAAAACAAAAGTACATGTGAATTGATGTGACTGGATCAACAGTGAATCAGTCAGATGAAAACCCTACAGTAGCCTGAGGAGAATTTGTCATGCCCTAGAAATGAAACACAGTTGCTATAATCCGTTAGAAGCACATGATGTAACCTCTAATATAATACTTCACGGCTCAGTTACTGCCATTTTGTCTGTTAGCCTTATTTAATGTTTCTTGATAAACATGACAAAAAAAGAGCACATCAACAGATTTTAGATTATCATTTTTAATTCAATTTCCATTTATGATCTGACAAACTGTCTTGTGTAACTGATTTGGAGGTTACGTCATACATTGCCTCCATTCTGTGCATTCTTTATTTTTGTACCGCTCTCAACTTGTGTGTTTCTCTGTGTTATTTTCAAAACTTGGCTTCAGTCACGAGCACATCACTGTTTCAGACATTTCCAGCTTTGCCTTGAGCCATTTTCAGTACACCTTGCTGGTTGAGACCATTACCACGAGCAACATGATTCTTTACTGAGAGTAACTCGATTAGCACATTCTTGGCAATAACTTAAGCAGCAAGGTGCACCGAAAGCACAGTTTCAGTGCAGTATTTATTCAAGAGAAATAAGTTCCTATGAGCCCCATGGGGACCTACTTGCACATTTGATCATATGGAGAACAACTTACAGCCTTAACAGAAAGATTAATAATCATGACTCTGATTGTTAAATTAAATTTCTGCTGTCAGCTGATCGTAGACATGATTTGCTTTGATCTCACACTGAGAGGAACATGGTTTATTGAAGAGATTATATATTTTTCAGCTAGATCAGTTTCTCAATTCATAATGGACAGGAGGATTGTTGTTTTCTGGTGCTCATACAAAGAACACTATTGTGTAGGAGAACAGAACTAAACAAAACAGCCCTGACAAACACAAACTTCAGTATACATCCTGACCAAGTCACGCTTTAGGTTAGAATGTTGTCTCTAAAAAAATTAACACAATTCTTTGTACACAATCCATCAATCCTAAACTATATCAAACAATTAGAACATTTAGCATTTCTTAGTTAAGCTGGCTCTTAATTTTGTCATGAAAATTAGGCTAAAATCTGATAAGGTTATTTTTATTATGCCTAATTATTATGGTAAATTGACAGAATTTACGTAGCACCTTTCCAGTCATAATGGCCACTCAAATAATTTTGCACTACAGATACATTCACTCTCCGAATACATTGGAGTTAAATGCGCAGGGTGGAAGTAAAGCAACCTACTAACTGCAAGACAACTACCAAAGTCGCCTCTATTACCTATATGTGCTCCACCCAAATCACTCTTTTGTCTTACTTCTCCAGTTGAAAGTGCCATTACATTTTTCACTCAGTGGATGATAATATAATAATGGTGTGTAGATAGCAAATTTCCAGGTTTTCCAGGTTTTATTTCAATGAGAGTTTTAAATGTCGTCTAGCTTCATTTCACAATTCCGTAGTTTCCTGAACCAACAAGATTTTAATCATCCTAAAGCTCGCAAAAGCTCACTTCAATGTTTTAAGTCAATATGTTAGCATGTACCATGATGCATTGTTTTTTTTTTATCCTTTCAGCCTTTGCTTGCAGTTATTTGTTCCTCATGTCTTTTAATAGCTTCTGTTATATCTATTTGCCTCGCCTCGGCACACTTGCAAATATCCACTGAGCTTTTCTTATTGCATGTCATGACAAATGGTGTTTCAATAACTCAAACAATGAAAGATGATGTAGGGTGGATGTCGTATGGCATCCAAAAGCATGATATATTTCATCCCTCGATTGCTCGCAGTGTCATTGTTGTTGAAAAATTAAAAAGACCACAGAACCCTGCTGCTAATGTTGATATGTTCAGTGCACAAGTGTAGAGAATTTGAAGAGAAAGATAAAGCTATTTTTTTTTGTACTGCAAGACCCCATTTTTTACATATTACTAGACAAATACAACTGAATTTGCCTAAAATATCGACTCTATATGGCATTATTGAATGATTCAGTGTCTTTGAAATATGCATATCCACTGCACCTTAGAACATGTCACATTTAAATTGCATGCTTCCATATTTTAAAAAAGGATTTTATGTGACAGAATAACAGAAAGCGGTCCAAAACTGAGACAAGGAAGGAAAATGATAACCAATTTTCTTTTACAAATGAAGATCTGGAAAGACTAATGCATTTGTTTTTGCCATTTTTTATGTTATTCCTAAATAATTGTTATCCCTACATAAGCTCTACTACAGCAACAAGTCATTCAAATGACCTAAGGATTAAAGTTGTGGAGAACTTTAAAGCAGGGCTGGGTTGAACATTGCCAGCTTCTTTTGTTCAAAAATAGACGCACAAGGCCAAGGACCTTCCAATTATAGAGACAGACTGAGAAAGATTAGAATCAAATGTAACTTAAGTGGCCATGGGAACAATTAAAGGGTTCCAGAGATCCACAGCTCAAGTTAAAAAAAATTTTTTTTTAAATCTATTAACTTAATTATTATGATTCTAAAGAATTCATAGAGCTAGAGATTGATTTGAGTTGATTATATCAGAACATATTTATGTTTTACTGAAAGTAAAGGTTATAGCTAATTGTGAATCTGTGGCTTTAACGAAAACATTTCTTTTCAAAAACATTTCTGTTCAGTCTCTTTCAACAAAATGACAAGAAGGTGATGGAAATCCGCCGCAAAATATGTACAACTAGAATGATTGCAGTGACAAGCAATTCTGCTCAGGTTACAATTTCCAGAGATTTATAAAAGCTTTGTTAAATCAATTTCTTTTTTCCGCTACTTTGTGTCAATTTGTCAGAAATAAATTCCAATAAAATTATAATATAACTTTGCAACCTGCTCATAGAGGAATTTTCAAACGTATTAACACCGCTTGGACTTTCAACCTTTGTCATTGTTCATGTGTACCCAAATGCTCATTGATACAGAAATATTTCCTTACAATCTTGTTTCATCAATACATGAGTTTCACAGGACACAGGACAACAATACACACCTTGCACAATCACTTGGGAAGCTATTGACACCTAATTGGTTTTCTAATCAGCTGCCTCATCATCACGATAACGTTAAGTAATTACAAACAGTAGCGCGGTCATTTTCTAATCAGTCTTGCACATGTTTGATTTTCAATACATCCAATCATGATGATGACGATGGTGATGTTGTTATTGAATGCCTTGAAATCTAATCTGCTTTCTATTCAGAATGCATCCAGTAAACAGTTGCTCTGAATCACTGACAGATATTATACTCTGAGTTCCATGTCCACCCTGTTTTTCTCCCTACTGATTTGCATCCAGAGCATTGAAAGACCTGTAGGCTGTTCATTAATGAAAGGGGGAAGAAACCCTACCCCAATCTGTATTTAGCCCTGCCTTTACCCATTAGCATACACGTCAACCAAAATTCTTTTCATTTAGCCCTGCAGCACTTGAAATCCCACGACCCTGAAAAAGAAATGTTCTCATTTGCCATGTCTAAACTAGCCAAATATAATTAGAGCAACACAAAAAGACCTTAACTCTGCCCAAATGTGACAGGAAGAGATTGAGATTTTCATTTTTCATGTCTTTCTGCTTTACAGAAGAGTTTCAAAACTTTGTTCGAAGGCTTCCCACATTCTACGCCCTGAACGGGTCTGCCATCCAGTATTTCTGGAAGACGGAGCCGTCCATTCACCAGCGATACAAACAGCTAGAGCTCAGCACACAGCAGCTTGCAAGCAAAGCACGGCGCATCATCAACAAGATCTTTACCCTCAGCAAGAGATGTCAAACTCAGCCAAAAATTATTATGCTACGGGAAAGGTGAGAAAATAAGAAGTTTCTATGATTACCTTTTTTTTTCTTTTTTACAAGAAAGTGGATATATGTGTTTGTGGAACACTCATTTAGTCTTTCCATCACCTATTTATGTGGTACTTTTTTCTAAATCAGTCAAACAAGGCATCACATAGTGCGGACACACAATAAATGAATTATTTGACATTATCCTGAGCTCCTGCTGAGCTAAGCTGCAGTCATACCTGATCTCTTGGCTGCATTCCCATCCGTATCTTCTTTACTTTCACAAAATCAGAACTATCCTTCTGTGAAATTAAAGTTTGCTGAATTTTAAAAAATGTTACAGAGTGTAAGGGTTTTACTTGTACAGCAATGAGAGGACAGGATTTTTTCGTTCATCTTTAGATCATCCAACATTTGTTTTCTGTTTGCATAATCTTATTTTGAAATATAAAGTTGGCAAAAAAAATGTTTGTATACATGCATGGAACTGTTGAATTAATGGTTATTTTTATTATATTTAGGAGAAAATCTTGACTTTCAGTTTATTTTGGTAAATTAACAACAAAATATAACTTTACAAACCTATAATGTATCCAAAAAAAGTAATAATGAATTAAATTAAGGATTATTAGTTGAAAATCTAAATACATCTATTTTAAAAATGAGAATTTTTCTTGCGTAAAGAAAAACATTTCTTTTGTAAAAGCAGAACTCATCAAGATGACAGATTTTTTATCTTAATTGTTAAAAGAATGTGTTTTCTTTGATGCTGGTGGAGTTTTTAATGTTTTGCTTATAGAGAGATCTTCTATCCATATTTATGTGGTAAAGTTGTAGCTTCAGGCATAACAGCCAGTGAAATATAGAGCTCATGCACACTTTGCAGTTTTATGAGAATAAATTGTTCTTTTCTTTTTCTAAATTAGTTTTTTTTCCCTCTTACATTCAAGAGTTTTGCTTCATTAACTCTTTGCACCCCAAGCAGTGTTTTGGAATTGTTTGCTCGACACAAACAATGTTTTGTTGTTGCTGGATAGAAGAGAGGTGATTTATGCTTTCAAGTGAACTTGTTAGTGGAAATGGAAAATATGTGGATGATTTGACTACTATGTAAGCCATTTTTGCTGTCAAACATAAAAGGTAAAAATCTCTGAAATGACAAAAAATTCTCATTTATTTCCCCTTTGTTAAGAATTTCAACTTTTACATGATGTTACTTTGAGAAATCGCTTGGCCTATTGTGGTGTAAAAGTTAGTGTAATTATACATTTTTTTAAAAACTAATCCTCAGTAATTGTCTCATCTCAAGATCTCCAAAAATAACATAGTATTTATTTCCCATTGGCTACCCATCTTCAGAATCTGCCCCGTTAGGTTATCTTTTTGTTCATACAATTGTTTTAGTAAACTAAATGATGTAATGTTTCAAATAGATAGGACTCCAATTGAAAAAGTTAAAATTAAAAGTATTTTGGGTGGTAATAAACAATCAATTAAACTTGAAAAAGCATATTAAGCATTTAAAATCTAAACTGTCAAGAAATATTTCAATCCTCAATAAAGTAAAACATTTTCTGGGTCATAGTAGACTCCATACTGCATCCTCTGCATTGATCTTACAATACTCAACTTACTGTCTGGATCAGGGGTGCCCAAAGTCAGTCCTCAAGGGCCGCATTCCTGCATTTTGTAGTTCTCTCCCTGGTTTAACGCCCTTGGATCAAATGATGGCTCATTAGAAGGCCTAAGCACTGACATGCTGAAAAGGTTGTTGGTACTTCCAGAGAGAGAATTAAAACATGCAGGATGCCGACCCTCGAGGACTGACTTTGGGCACCACTGGTTTAGATGGTTGGTGTAATAACTACATTACTTCACTGCTGCTGTTGATCATACTATACAAGAGTGCTATGCATTATTCACAAAGTTAGACATCCACATCATACCAACTCACTTTTCTTGCAGGCCACATCACTTAGGTTTTACAGGTTTGTTTAAATTTCACACAGTACAAGGCATGTTTTTTCAAGACACAACACATGACCAGGTAATATATGGAAAATGGGCCGTGTTCAAGGTTTGAGAAGGAGAATATAACTTTATGAGTAACTTAGTTTTTATAACATAACAGCACATGCCATAAAGAGAGACTTTTGTGTATTCATATATGAAGTTCAGCTGTGGAATTGTTTAAATGTGAATCTGTAGCAGTGTGAAAACTTAAAATAACTTAAAGTATAAAGAAATTGTATTTGATCATTGTACAGTGGGAATGAAGACAGGCATTGATTATTAACCGGGTTATATCAAATTTATGGTTGGCCATGAATTGATTTTTCTTTGTTTGGATCTAAGAGTTTATCTGAATTTGCAATATAATTCAGTAGTTATTTACTGTTATCATTTTAACTGTCTTTTCAAGATATGAATCGAAACTGACTGACCAAAGAAAACTCAAAAGGAGAAGGGAGTGGAATTACATAAGAGTTTACTGTATCCACTCCTTTTTGGATGCAGAACTGATGAATACAGGCAGAGGGGCAAAATTATTTATTTATGCTTATTTGTTTGCTCTAGCTATATTTATTTTGTTGATTCCACTTTGTTGTCTTGCTATCTGATTGTTTTGTTTCTTGAAACTGGTCTGAAACAAAATAAAAAAATGGAAAAAATTGATCTCAAAATATTATGAGTAGGACTAACATTAACAGACCATAATAGCACATTTTTACATCTTTAAAACCCCTACTGAAACTGGCAGAGTGGACTGAATGAACTTTAATATTACCACAGCTTGTTTGTAATGTTAGCTTTGCTTCCTAGCTTTTACTGGCAAAGATGTGCAACATGTCTAACTTTCAATATCTCGTAAGTGATCATGGAGAAATAATAATTTTCACTTTACACTTTGAGATTGTTATCGCTGTTGCATGATTGGAACAAATCAAAAATGTGCTTAAAACATTTTTCTTATCTTGTTTTTATAAAACATCATTGGGAGATCTAAGCAGGAATACTGACTCTGCACCATCTGTGATTTCTTGTCGGTCCAAAGTATGTGGTTATTAAAACAGGGCAGAATATTATTGTTATATATGTTGGGAGTCTTACACACTGATCAAACTTTTAAGGACAGCTATCTCTAAAAATGTGTTGCAAATGACAGTTTCACAATACATTTTCTTAAGAATTGATGGATTCTCTTCCAAGAAGAAAAAAACAACAACTTTAGGGTAATTCCCTTTGGAATATCTCTTGGTGTTCCCATGCAAATTGACAGCACACTGTGGTAGGGTTCAGAATGATAATGGTACTCAAAGTACTGACCTCCATATGGCTGTAGAATAGCCTGTGCTGTCTTTAGCATTTCAGGGTATTAAAATGCATGAGGACAGTGATATTAATTTTAAGTAGTTTGACTTTTTTTTTTTAGTTTACAGTTAAACTGGAATTAGGGTGATGGTTACATTGAATTAAAGCATCTGATTACACTGAAGATCATGTGATGAGATGAAGAAAGAGAGTAATTCTTATGCAATTTCTATGAAATCTGCTATTTTTAAATAATCACTTTCATTGGGGTTTCTAATGCATTTCACCCAGTCCCTTATATATATAACGGTAATTCTCTTGATTCTACTAAACCCAACCAGTTTTTCTTTTTTTAAATAGTAATTTTTACACTGGAATTCTTAAAACCATTCTATTTAATTCCTGCATATATTCTAAAAAACACATTCATAGCTCTGTGCTATTATTTTAGTACTAAGGCATCAGGGTCCTTTTCGTACAAAGACAAAGCAGGGAAAAAAAAGTATCGTAGGCACAAAAGCTATATGCACTGCTTTCTGCTGCGCTGTTTGTGTGGAGGTGTCAGAACAGTCATAATGAAGCTCTGCAGAAGAACTGGTGTGCTTTCTTTGGTCAAATGAATGTTGCTTTTAATGGAACAAGCTATAGTGCATCTTCAAGGGAAAATCTTTTTTTCCCCCACAGGTGTAAAATGAATCGGAGGCAGAAAAAAATTTATTTGTGACATTGATCCGAGTGAAATAAACTAATAGACATGGAGCAGATTGCGGAATGAAAACACAGATTGTCTTTGGCCCATATTGTATGCCATGTCTCTATGACTTTGCATGTCCTGCTGATCCAACGCAGCAGTAAAACAGCTTCCTCTCATTCGCTGTACACAGTTTACACTCTGAAACTGTGATATGTGCAACGTGAGTTTCTGAAATGCGTTGTAATTTTACGTTCGTTTTTTTTCTGACCTATTTAAAACTCTTTCTTAAAAAAACAAAACACACATGTGTGCTTAACTAAAATGCTTAAACACTTTTCAAAAGGTACTTTAAATCTGACAAACAAGACTTAAACAGTTGTCGATTTTAATTTACTGAATATGATTTTTGTTTATGCAACTTTTACTAATTCTCATTTCTAATTACTTGTACTATAATTCTCATAAAATAACACAAAATTTCAATGTAATCCTCTATCTAGCATCAAATTAAAAATATATATACATTTGGACTAAACCTATGCCAGTAAGCGATAACCTACACAGAAACTGCAAGGGATCAAAGGAGATTTCTTGAACATTAGTCTTGCTTTGCTGGTATAATATGCATTACAAATAGAGGCAGAACTGAAGAAATATGTAGGCTCCTCAGCCATAAAAGTCGCCTCCCCTTCTATTACATTGTTAGATCAAGAAATGATGTTAGAACTTGCACGGGTTTTGATCTCAAGATTGAAGCATGCAGCCTTGACTTATGTCATCACTTTGCTGGCTTCAGTGATGATCCATATTTTATATTACGATGGGCACCATAAATCAGACTTAATTAGATGGATTTATGCATACACTCAGAAGTGAAGGATATGTCCTTAAAAATAGGTTCATGTTTTACAGGATGGAAGATCTTTTTATAAGGGCAACATGGTTCCTTAATAGATGAGACATATATCTCATTACTGTGATCTCTGGGAGTGTAAAACTGGCCCCACCTAGTTCGTATTCTAAATTCTATGATTCGACTTGGAAGGCGCTGTCCACTGTAGGCAAAAAAAAACAAGTATGTATCCAAAACAAGAAAGTGGGCTATGTTTGTGATTGAATTTGGTTTCTGTTCAAAAATAATAAGCTCTTTCACCCATGTATTCACCTACTGCTCTGGTTCTGTTGTAGGCCGTTTGGGTATTGGCTCAACTACATCCTGTCCATCATGTACTGCAGTGAAAACAACCACCTGGGTTCCTACATGGAGGAGACCCGGAGCTGCTCCTGCCCATACGAGCATCCCCCCTGCCAGAGTATGATCCCATGCACAGTAGGAGAGGGCTCCTCGTGCGCATCCTGCTCCTATGAAAATCGCTCCCGCTGTGCCACATGCAATCAGGGCTACATGCTGAGCCAGGGCGTGTGCCGCAACGAAGTGCCAGATTCCACTGACCATTACATTGGCTTTGAGACTGACCTGCAGGACATGGAGTTGCGCTACCTGCTGCAGAAAAGAGACAACAGAATCAGCATCCATGGGATCTTTGTCAGCAATGATGTCAGGCTGAATAACTGGTTTGACCCATCATGGAGAAAGAGGATGTTGCTGACTCTAAAAAGTAATAAATACAAATCAAACCATGTCCACATGCTCCTGGGCATGTCTCTGCAGATTTGCCTTACCAAGAACAGCACACTTGACCCCATGCTCTCTGTCTACATCAATCCATTTGGGGGGAGTCACTCAGAGAGTTGGATCATGCCCATTGACCAGAACAACTACCCAGACTGGGAAAGGACTAAATTAGATCTTCCCTATGACTGTTACAACTGGACTTTGACATTAGGCAATAAATGGAAAACATTTTTTGAGACTGTCCACTTCTACCTACGGAGCCGCATTAGAGGGCCTTCAGGCAATGGAAATGGAAGTGTATATTTTGAACCCCTGGAATACCTGGAACCGGGCCAAAATCTGGGCTACATGAAGATCAACAGCATCCAGGTCTATGGCTACAGCATGCACTTTGACCCAGAAGCGATCCAGGACTTAATTTTACAGCTGGACTACCCGTACACTCAGGGATCGCAGGACTCGGCCCTTCTGCAGCTGCTGGAGATCCGGGATCGGGTCAACAGGCTTTCCCCACCTGGAGCTCAGCCTCTGGATCTATTTTCCTGTCTGTTGCGGCATCGGCTCAAATTGTCCACAACAGATGTTACCAGAATCCAGGCAGCATTGCAGACTTTCAGTGCCAAGCAGCCAAACTCCATTGAATATGAAACAACCAAATTATGTAGCTAGTAAGTTGGCCGGTGGCCAGATGCACAGATGGAGCAGTTATCACACAGGCCTATCAATTGCGAGGAGCAATTCTAAAGCAGTGCAATGAACATTTTGGTGGACTTTGTAATTGACATGAATCTCAACTCCACGACTGAGATTCTCATATCAACTTTTCCTATAAATTTGTATGACATCTTAGAATTGAATAGGTTGTCACCATACATGCCTCATTACTCTTTATGAAAAGGTTTGTTGTCATATTTTACCAATGTGCTAAAATTTGTAGATTGTAGAAACTTGATTCACTTGCACACATAAAATAGAAACATTATGTTGTCAAAGAATAATCCAAAAATAACCTTAATACCAGCGTGGTTTAATTTATTTATTTTGGTGTTTCTCTCATCACAAAAATAGTAGTTTTCATTTTATTATGCATCAATGGGGCATGTCTTTTTACTTGTTTTTATTTACTTTCCAAACAAGGATCGTCACTTTTTACCTAGTCTACAACACATTTTTGTAAGAAAATGCGAAATAGATGCTGTATCATACAGATTTCTTGAAAGATACAATATAACAGGTTCACAATGTGTTACATGTGCTTTTATTTTTATAATGCTGTTGTTTGTGAAGCAAATGATATGACAACATTGTCTATAAAATGTACAGTAAAATTTGTTAATACACTAAATAAAATAAATTTTTATGTGTGGTCTATATCCATTTTGCGTGTTTTAAAAACTGGCTTTTGCTCCATATTGCTAAAAAGAGTGGAGATAAATAGCATGTAAATAGAATCAGGCCACGTTTTTGCAAAAATAATAAATTTGACTTTGACTTCACTTTGCCCTGTAAATATGCATATTTGAGTTTTCAAATATGCAACTCACACAGTATTGAATGTCCTAACTTGAGATTTTTGAAAAGTGTTTTTTCGAGGTCAGAAAGATTATTGAATTTACCAAAAGTCAATTGTTTGTTGTAAAATCATCCCAACCTTTGCTGAAGTCCCACACAAAGTATATTTTTAAGAAATGATTCATAGGTTCACTCTGTACATTTATCAAAAACTTCCAATGCCTCTCTCTCTATAGCAACTCTTCAAATACATCACACAAAAATAAAAATGAGTAAATGTAAAACAGAAAAATAAAATATTAAGAAAGTGTTAATAAAAACTGTAACAGAAAAAGGGAAATAGCAGAAGGAATTGCATTTAGTGTCTATACAACTTCTTATAATTGTTAATTGAAATGTCTAATGAATGTATTTCACAAAGGTTATGTTTTGGGTGAACGAAAAAAATATAATAACAATTTAAACAATAGCAAATTGGAGCTAATACATAATACCAGACATTGAAGCTGCAAATTTGGTGCTCTGCTGTAACAAAACAATGATGGGTTTTAGATCTCTTAGCTTCAGATTTTTGTTGATGGATGGCTGCTTGGGGGCAGTGGGGAAGACACAAGAATCAAAGCCTTATATCTCAGGTGTGTCTCACAGTGGTTTGTACTCTGTTGTAATTTGTAGAGGTTTATGTCTTATTCCAAGTCATGAAATAAAAGCATTATTTTTTGTCTCCAGGTGCTTTGTGCTACAAGTATTACGCTCTTCACAAAACCGTTTGCAGGGACCTCTCTGATGTTTAAACATTTCATAGTAGAAAAGCAGTCAATGTGAAAACGCTGGTTCAGAAACTGAGTTTGCCCAGAGAATTACAGATCATAGGCTCAGAAGGCAGTGAAGCTTCACTCTAAAAGTTTTCTGAAAAATATGAATAGCTTTTTTATGTTAAAATAGTGGAGGGATCATAATAAAATTGCTAAGGGCCTGAAAGAAGCTTTAAAACAATGTTTTAGCAAGTGTCCCAACTAACCTTACCTCAACCTCAAAAGCCTTTGAGATCGACGACTGTTTCATGACCAATCTACAAAATGCAGTTGCAGTGAGGCATTGTAAGTTATAGTCCTCTAATGGAATCTTCAATCTTTTCAGGAAAACAAACTAATTTGGAAGTGAAATCAGATTGTTTCTTTTCCATCCTCATATCTGAGTTAATCCCCTCTAACACAGTAACGCCACAATTACACTGTAGCACCAGGGGGTTTTCCCCTTCCAACATCTAATGGAATGCAACATATGCTCCACCATGCCTTACAATGTCTAGTGCTATTGTTTATTTATTTTTCTATGCTGATTTAGTGAAAATTAGTCAAGCATTATAGCAATAAAAAGTAACAGCTGGATGGGTTGTGTTGCTCTGTTAGAAAAACTAAGGAAAGTTACTTCCTTTTTGTCTAAAGAGAGAAATAATCATTTTGATCTACACTATGGACCAAAATGAAAACAGGGAAATAAGGATGAAGTGATTTTTTTCTAGGTTAGCTCACTAATCTCCATACTATCTTAACCCCAAATTACATAAAATCTTGTCAGATTTTGATTTTAAATGGTTTCATTAGTCTAAGAATCTTGCTTTTTCAATAGATAATAAAGCAATGTAGAAGCTGTTTTAGTTTAAAAATATATTTTTCATTAAATTATACTTCATTAATTATTTACACACTTCAGAATATCTGAGGATAAATTTTGGAATTAGAGTTTAGAACATCCTTCCTGTAGAGGAACACAAGTTTTGTGTATGTTTCCACTGGAGTTTTTACCCTTTATTTTTGGTAATAGGTTCCAAATGTTTGGTTGGAAGGGCTCTCTGCCAACACCCTAAATTATATTCCATGTAATCAAAGCATATAGACATGGCAAAGTTGTCAAACTTCAAAGCAAGCAACAGAAGGGGGAAGAAAGTCAGTTTAAGACTTAAATGGCATAAATTATTCCAGACCATTTTTACATTTAACTACTTCTATGGTCTACAGATGATGTTCCTAAAAATGTTATCAGTATCTAATGATCATACCTGAGTATTGTTGCTCATCTTGTCCACCACCTTTATAGCAACTTGTCCCAATCTTAAGCATTTAACAATAATGATGTTCATTCTTATTTTGAAATCCATTAGTAGTATTAGAAGTATATCTCTACCAGTTAGGCTTGCCCTTCCTGCCCATTGTTCTGTTGTTTTACCCTAATTTAGCTTAAGATGGAGAACAAATAGTATGGCTCTTTCGAATATGTACTTTATAGGTCAGCACACAAGCTGCAATCAAATAAAATAGTCAAAGTGACCTCTGAAGTTGCAGCTCTTATTTCAGCAGAGGAAAAGCATTTTTCATAATGCTGAAAATGTGGCACTAAAACATAATGTTAGAGGATAAAAGGGAAAGAGCACCGTCTGCATGGAATATAGTGGGTGAAGGTGACAATATAATTATTATCTCAATGCCAGATTTGCAGAGAAAAGAATCCCCCTGAAAGTTGCAGTAGGCGGGGAGACATGATATTCCAGGCTGACAGAGGCTGCTTGCGACTTTTAGAGAAACCCAAATGAAAAAGTCCAGGTTGTTCAGTTTACATTAACATTTTACATTAACTTTCAGAGACATCAAGGAGATTTTGAGGTCATTAACATTCATGTGACATACCTACACTGAACTTGAGATGAATGTTTTGAGAACAAATGTTTAGTGGTATAAATTATTTTTATGCACGGTATGCTTCCTTGCCAGAGGGCGTAAGTGAATCTAATTTAGCAGCAATAAAACCAAATTAATGGACTACAAGCATCAGAGCACATAAAGAACTAATTCCATCTGAAAGTAGCTTTAACAGAAAGAATATGTAATTGCAAAAGAGGTCTATAAAAATAGTGATTTGGTTGGCCAAATGCAAATGCTCTGCTAACTTGTTCAGCCACGACACAAAAAACATATGGGAAGAAGCACTTATTCTCAAGTGATCAGATTTTATACATCAGTCAAGAGAATACCCAAGTACATAGATGAAAACTTCCAAAAATGTAACTTATAAATTGGTTTTAGCCTGTTTAATTAATGTAGAAAATCAGATGGATTTGATAAATTTAGATCAATATTATAGGTACGAATTTCAAACTATCTGTTATTTAGACCATAAAGGGCCGAGTGATCTCTCTAACAAAAATAAGCTGGATGACTTCGAAGACCTATGATCAAGTCAGAGTGTCAGGACTGGAACATCACTGAGGTCCAATACATGACTTCATTGTTTCTGCTGGTCTTTCTGACCATACAAGCAAAGATGCTAAGAGCAAAAGGGCTAGCAGTGCTTGTGAACAACAGAGGGTGTTTTGGCAACCTCTTACATACCACCATTAGCAGTTGTTGACACCACATGTATTGCAATCATCTCAGTTTTTGCTAAGGCCTGTAATTTTGACTACAACAAAATAACCTTCCTACCACAGCCATCGACATCTACAACCACTTTGAATAAACTTGTGTAATATGAGCTACAGAAATATTTAATTTTCCTTTGGGATTAATTAAGAAATTTTGAATATAATTAAATCAGCAATTAACCTAAGCTCAAGACATAGTGTTCACATAGTTATCACAAAAGGTTCTGGACTCCTTTCTGACATCACAATGTGTTATGTGGAAGGGAAGTCAAGTCTTATTAACCTTTAACATTAGTGCCTTTAAGGTATGCTTTCATTTTGTCTCCCGTAACAGAGCAAAAAAACAAAAACACATTCCTACTGCATCCAACCTCATCAGTGATACCTTGTCTTGAGGATCTTTGCCTATGCAGCTCTTCAATTTTGTCATGTTTAAAGACAATGTATTTCAACCTTTGTTATCAAATGGTCTGTCAGACATGGCAGATAATTACTTTTTTAAGGTCAATGAGTTTAAACTGTTAAATAGCTCAAACATTTAACAGTTTAAGAACAGAGTTCAAATTTTATTTACTTTTTGCTTCCTTTATGTTTTGTTGTCTCTTGTTATTGTTTCCCATTTAGAAATGACAAAGAACTTCCTTTTCTTGTTTAACTTTCTGGTCCACCAACAAGTTACAGAAGCACTAATAATGCCAGCATAGGACCAGGCCTTAAGCACCGGAGTAAAAGAAGCCCAGATCTACCAGGCAAGATCCCAGGTGCACGTTGTGCAAAGAGGTTCCAGGAACAGTCCATCTTGGACTGATTAGCTTGCATTCCCTAATAAGAGAATAGTATATTTGTCAAGCTTTTCCAAGTTTTTTTTTTTTTTTTAACCATCATTTTGGTGTCTGAGTGAAGTACAGACTTGTTTTGGATTACTAATGACCCTTATTGGCAGTAATCAGAGAGGAAATCGGCAGAAAGAAAGTGGTGTAAGCCACGCTGCAAAGCTCTTGAGGGATCAAAACCAGAACAGCGGCATTGAGGACTTTACTATGTGGATATGAGGTGGCCATTTGACTGCTACACCAAGTCCACACCCAGAGTCCATTTCTAATTTTAAAAAGCATATATGTATATTTGAGTAAGTCTGTTCAAATATATCAATGATTCCACATTTTTGTGGGCTCTAGCTATGCACTAAAAACCTTGATAACTAATATTGATGCCAGGCAGAAACTGATCTACCAGTGAAAGTCGAATGTCGTTCTGTCCTTTCTAAAGGGTCACTCAATAGCTTACCTGTCAGGTTTCTGTAAGGGAATTTTCTTTAATTCTACAAATTAGTGACTGCTTGCCTTTTAAGAAGAATGTCATGTTTAACTGAGAGGCAAGAACAACTGTGACATGATGTGTTATAATGGATGTGTTTGCACTGATAATTAGAGCAGTTTGCATCATGAATACATAATAATAATAATAATAATAATAATAATAATAATAATAATAATAAATGAAACTAAATGAAGCTTAAAATACATATAGTACATATTAGTGAGTGAAGAAATCAACCTTATCTTGGGTATACTATTACTGGTCTCACTGTTAACTCAAACAGTAAACCATAAGATAATAAAAATGGTGTCAGCATGAGGCTAAGTTGTAGTGTATGGAGCACTACAACTTAGCCTTTCTGCCTGCCTTCGAATATCTTTTTTACACAGACTTAACTATACTACAAACAAATATTGCAACAAATACTTGAGTAAAAATGTGTTTCTTTTATGATGTTGTCCATGTAAGTCTTGCTTATAAATAAAATTTATTATTACTATTGTTAATAAATGGAAGCTATCAATTGCATGCCTTTGATTGAACATTGTACAATAAAAGTCTATGACCTATGCACACAATTGTACCTAAACTTTCAACAGTATTTGTATGTAAGCCAAGGTATGTCTGTGAACCACAACAAATTCCAATAAAGTCTTAGTTAAAGGTCTTGGGATATTATGAGCCTTCAAAATGGGTCATATAAGAAAGGTAATTTTGTAAATTGCCTAATTATGAAAAAATTTCTATGTTTTGCCAGCTTCATCTGATTTGCTAATGTTTTCCCTTTTTTAATATTTTGAAGTAAATCTGAACACAGACATTCTGGGATTTATACATTTCTTTAAGTTGCTTGCAAATCCTTTCTAATCCAAAGCTTGTCTCTTTCTTTTTCTGCCTTCTTATTCAATGCCAACATTGTGGTGGTGAAATTCTCGGCCTCCAGAGATTTAGTGCCAACCCAAAACACACCCACTTCTGACTAAACAA